GTTGGAAAGAGCCATGCCTGAACCCTCATGGTGGAGATAGCCAGTAAGGAAAAAGTCTACCATGTCCCCTTGTCAGTGACAGGTGAGTGACTTGGGGCCAAGTCCTTCACCACACCTGATTGGACTTTGTGAAAAATCTACATTATGTTCTTTCTGCTCAAGTCCACCAGCTGGAACTTTGTGTAGTGAGGACACTGGAGATATCCTGGCTTTCAGAAGCAAACAAGGTGACAAAAGGCCTCTGTGACCACCACTGAAGGGGCAGTGCACTGCACAGTCCAGACTCCAGACATACTGCCTCCTGCTTCCTCTTGTGAGGCAGCTGAGTCAGGGCCCTGAGGCAGGTGGCTTGTCTCAGAGACACCACAGGGGCCTTCCTTGTACTATAATGGGGGTGGACATGGCAACTGGAATGAACCTCTGCTAAAAGACTGCATTTTCATCGTACAAAAGGACAAGGATCAGCCATGTAGCCTGCAACGATGTAGCTTTACATGCACACTTTAACTGAGTTTTATGAATCTGTGTGCATTCTGCAGTAACAGAGCCATGCTGAACATTGTCATGCACATACCTGTCACAAGGTATTTTTTTAACATCATTTATTATCATCTGAAGTGATCACATGAGATTGTGAACCAGATTTACTTGTGCTATCTGATGCTGTACATTGCACCTGCTTTTATCTGTTTGTGGTGAAAGTCTGGCTGGATCATGTCCTATTTGTGTGGCTTTGGAGTGAGCCAGCATCATTGGAATTGATGCCATGAAAGCACAAAGCAAGGAAGGGACATCTAGACTCAAACCATAACAGGTTTGAGTTGGAAAGAGCCATGCCTGAACCCTCATGGTGGAGATAGCCAGTAAGGAAAAAGTCTACCATGTCCCCTTGTCAGTGACAGGTGAGTGACTTGGAGTGGAGGCAGGAGTTGGGTAGCCTGGCTGGCTGCAGCCAAAGACTGCCCTTATAACCCCTCTGGGTCTGAGGGCACCCTGGCAGAAGCAACACTGTAAGCCAGTGGCTTGCTCTTAGCTTTGGGGGATTGGCCCCAGAAAAATCTACAATGTAGTGTTTCTGCCAAATTTGGGTTCAGGACCTCTCAGGGGCAGGTATGGGTGATTCTTCTGAGACAGGAAAGCTGAGGCACAGGCTCTGTGCACTTCACTGCACCCCAGATCCCTACTGGGAGTTGCTGACTTTCTCTCAACCATAAAGATCTATGGCCACAGAAGAGAAAGTCTATGAAGTGGAATGAGGGTGTCAAGAGGGGCCCCCTGGCCAGGTCAAGCCTTGCAGCCTGGCCAGGCAGGCACACGGCTGTAGCTCTCTTGCTTATGTGCTGGACAGAGCCATGCTCTGTAGTGGACTTTGGGTAAGTGTCTGTCCCAGGGTAGCAGCTGCCTCATGGCCTTGCCACTGGGAATTGTGGAGCTACAGAAAGGGCCTGCTGGGCTGCTGATCCTTGGAAAGCACACAGCTCTCTCACCTTCACACATGTGTGCAGGTACGCAGGCTCACACTTCTGTTCTAACTCCTAGACCAGTCCAAAGCTCCTCCTTAGCCCCAAGACCAGATGCAGAGGCTGGAGGACAAATGCTGCAGACATCACAGTCCTTCCCAACTTGGACTTCAAACCAGTGTTACTACCTGCTAGAGAAGACTCCCCGCCAAGTGAGACAAAGCACCAGTACTGACCAGCCCTTGGTGTGGCTGAAGCATTCCTGCCCAAACCCAGGACCTGCCAAGGTGCTCAGCCCAGTCAGCCCCACAGGTGGCATGTGATTATAAGATGCTGCAGAGCCGCCAAGCTTATGGGGGATCCATTCCTACTTGGGTAAGATAGGGCAGAGCCCTGAGGAAGGCCATTGCAGGAGCTGTTTGGGGCTGCACAGCTGGCAGAAGACTAGGGAGCCAGGGGTCCCTGTGCCTAGTTCAGACAAGTTCAGTGGGCATATCATGCCCTCTGCCTGGTTTCCAGGCCAGCATCTCTAGTTTGTACAGATGAAAGGGCAGGTACAAGCAAGACTGCTTACACACATGGCCCTCCACCCAAAGCAGGACATCCCACAGCTGTGCTTTGTCCCTCCAGTTTCCAGTGTTGAGACTAACACTTGGGACAAGACCTTGGGGCTGAGCCGGGCCTGGGAGGAAGGCACAGGGAAAGTCTATGAAAACACAACAAGGGGCCAGGGAGATGGCTCAGTAGAATAAGTGCTTGCCTGGTAAGCGTAAGGGCCTAAGTTCAATCCCCAGTTCCACAAAAAAATCTCGTAAAAAAAAAAAAAAAAAAAAAAAAAAAAACAGTAGCCATTCAGGAAGCACAAAGTTGACTTGGCATTGTGAGAGCTCTTGGGAAGCCCAAACATGCCCCTGTGTGTGGGCTGCATGTGCCCCCTAAAGGCCACATGATGAAGCCTTAACCCCAGGGAAGGGAAAGGAGGAGGGGTTTCTGGTGGTGAGGTACAGATGTCCAAAGGAAGAGACAGCAGAGCACTCACTACCTGTCCCTCTGCCAGTGGGGAAGCAGGGGATCTGGCATCCAGATCTCAGTGTGCCTGGATCTAGGACACTGGCTCCAGGAACTGTGAGGAAGGGCATGTGTTTCAGCTCTACTTGTGGTGCTGTTATAGCAGCCTGAACCAAGACACCCCGCCACCAAAGTGAAAACCATGTGAAAACACTGGCAGCTCAGAATATCGCCTTGTGTGACTGAAGATTTGGTAGCTGTAAGAACCTAAAGAAGTTTATTCTGGGTTATCCTGGTGGCCCTGAGTGCCATCATGTGTGAGGTTTTTTGGTACCAGGAATCAAACTTAGGACCTTGTGCTCGCCAGACATGTGCTGTGTGGCTGAGCTATATCCCCAGCACTGAATGCCATCACATGTGGATTGGCTTTCCTGTCACAGACACAACACCCAACACCCACTACAGAAAGGAGGAGGGGTTTACTTTGGTCCGTGGCTTCAGGGAATACGGTCCATGGTCAGCTGACTCCAATACATCATTAGTTCGTGGTAGTCAGGAATAGAGCACCTGAGAAGGGACCAATGACCAGAGAGTCCCCAGGGTTACGCATCCGTGACCCACCCAGAGATGCCTATCCTCTGGGTGACCTCCAAAGCAATCAAGATGACATTGCAGCTTAACCATCACAACTTGTGCCCTTGTAGGAGACAGAGAACACCAAGAGGCTGAGGTGACAAGACAGAGGTGGGGAAAACAGACAGAGCCCACAGGCTCCCGGAGACACAGAAGCTGGAAAAAGCAAGGAAGCATTCTCCCAGGAGCTGTGGAAAGGACACACTCTGTCCACATCTGGGCATCAGGCCTTGAACCTCCAGGGCTGAGCAATGATAGGTGTGTATTGTTTCACACCCATCGACCTAAATAACCAACAGAGACCCTCCAAAGGCTAATACACTTGTTCTATGCTGACTGTTACAAGGACACGCCCAGGGCATAGTCAAGAAGTTCGAGGCAAGACGAGAACTACACAGCA